ATAATTCAGCAATGGTCCGATAAAGAGGTCTTGGCGAATAATCATCTTATTGAAATTATGTATTCATTATCTAAAAGTTTAAATGAAGACATACATTTTTTACCACATTTTAAAAATAAAGTATAATTTTCTTGAGATGGTTTATCCTTGGGAATACATCGGAGGTACAGAGGATTTCTGTTTACTTTTCGTGGTTTTCCCGATGGTTAGGAGGTATATAGTTTTTTTTTTTTTTGATATTTAAGGTAGGGGCAAAACGCAATCATTGAAAAAGTATAATAAATCAATCACGTTAGAAGGCGCAGTAATTCCTTGCGCATGATTTCAATTAATTCAATGCTTTTTACTGATTTAACTTATAATTCGTCACAGAAATTTATCCTCTATTTGGTAAGATAAGTTAACTAGATTATTTATGGAAAAATTACTATTGTAAAAAGATTTAATCGAGGGCCGAGTAAATGAGAATTTTTATTGGTAATCTATCAATAAAATTCATTGGAACCAACCATCCGAACAAATTAAAAAAAAAATAAAGTAATGGTTTTAAAGAATAATTTAGAAAAAAGCCTAAATGGCTAGGATACGAGAATTAAGGAATTAGAGCAAAGTAACGAATCGTTACGCTCACAATTAAAATATTTAGAAGATAAGGTTAGAGAAGAATCCAAAGCCAAGCAAGAGATTATTAATAATTTAGAAGAAAAGATTAGAGAACGAGAAGTAATATCTAAAGAAAAGCAAGAAATTATTAATGAATTAGAAAAGAGAATCAGAAATCTTGAATTAATTATTTATGACGATACCATTAATTTTACTATAACAGATACAAATAAGGATGACATATTGAACACCTTTGGCGGGTTGCAAGGATATCGTCGAAAATTGGCAAGTCTCTATTGTAATAATTCTCAAATAACAAACTTACCAACATTACCTAACTCCTTAACGGAACTCAATAGCTATGGAACTCAAATAAAAAGCTTACCGAATTTTACCCAATTCCTTAACGCGAATCATCCCTCAATATTTAAAAAATCAATACTCAAACAATTATCCTACCAACTTCTATCACCTTGATACAAATTAGCAATTTAACTAATAATTATTTAATTTTAGTCTTAAATGATTAATTTGACTTTTTTTGTTCAAGCATTTAATTATTGAAGTGACGCAAAATCATTAATATTAAACTACGCAAATCCTCTTAAATAGTACAAATTTATGAGTGTGGCCATATTTCTATAAAAAAAATCTTGGATATACCAGTTTAAAAGATTGTTATTTTGTTATAATGACAATATTTATACAGTAGAGGAGGTGGTTGTATCAAATTTTCTTGGAAAGTAATATTCATATACTGTACCATGCATGCTGTGGATTATATCCTAATAGGAATGCAATCAGCGCAATTAGAACTACAACAGCTGAATACTATCATAGGTGTATCACATTATAATGGGTAAACTGAACTAGATCAATGATGTAAAACATATTTGAAAACTAAAGCTCTACGTGACTTGAATATATCATGTCATTAATGGTTGTAAAAATATAATCATTTACATAATTCATTTTTTCGATCATTTTGTCCAAATTTGCAAAATCTATTACATTATAACTTGTCAAATCCATATTGCATTTCAAGTTTTTTCTACTTGCTTAAAGTTGACCATTATTTATTCTCTATTCCATTTTTTGTAAAGTGAATTATTTATCTTAACATTGAATCAAATAAATTTATTGGGCAGCCATTGTACGATAATAATCTACTTATTAAAATCGGCTACTTTACCGTGTAAAATAGTCAATTATCAACGCTCATTAAAAAAAGAAATACTTGAAAATGAAATTGGCGAAAATGCGAAATCTGGCGATACTAGAGAAATAGAACTGATACTCATTAACCACAAGATTTAGTTATGATAATCTTTTATTATTTCTTTTAAGCAATTTATATATTATTTTCTGTGACTTTTTATTTAGGATGACAATATAATTGCGTAAAAATGGAAATTCAGTAAAAAAAAAAAAAAAATTTTCCAAGTCAAAGCATATACTTAATGTGATAAACATAAAAGTTCCAAAAAGGGATGGGATTTTGACAAACTTTAATTCTGGCTAAAATTTAATGATAATTTCAGTCAAAATGTAAAGTTATGCATGCTAATTTCAAATAAATGACGCGATTAAGACTGCGTCATTTCAAGACAAGGTTTAGATGATTAGTAATGGTAAACTTATATATTTTAGTGTTAAGTCTAAATCGTAGGAAATATAATCAAAGATATAGGCTTCTCCTTACTAAGAGTTATTTTTAATTTTTTTAATAAACATACGCATTAAAAACAAATAAAAATATGGGCTTTAGAATATGTAACATAAAATACTGAAAACAAGCTCATTAAATATTTTTTTTTGTAACCATTACCAAAACAGAAATCACTTACAACATAATGGACAAGGAGCGCAACAATCACAAACGTCGCAGCAATCCCTTTTCACCAAGCTTGAGTGTTTCTCACTAGAAGAAGAGCTGAGAAAGCAACGTTACTGAAGCTGAAATAACGATAATAAGCATGAAAATGTGAATTTTCATGATTACTTTGGAAGTATTTGAAGGATTAATATCAGAAATGTTTTTATAATATTGTGAATTTTATAAACAAATTCTTGTGGGAATTATATCTTAAGACGTGTATTTATAAGTAATATACAATTTAAATTATTTGATGGAATGGCTGTCTCTTGACAATGAAATAACAAAATTTTCCTCACTTTATATAGCTTTTTTAAGTATCAGGCTTACTAGGCTTATCCTTAGCAAACTTATATTTACCTGCTGGAGTTTCTTATAAAGAGCGTTACAGCAGAGACCTGCAAAAGTATAAATTTTAAGCCCGACCCTGACTTATTTAAAATTATGGTGATGTGAAATTTAACAATTTAATCATTTTATTTTAATTTAACACATAACAAAAATAACAATATGTATTATTTTTTTTTTTTTACAATTATTTAACAAATTTTATTATAATAATAAATAAACAAAAGAGATTTAATGAAGAGCACTATGTAATACCAAAAATTCTACTTAATAATGATTTTATAAAAAAATCCGGGCTAGTACCTTGAACCGGGTCGACACGTGTCAAGCAAAAACAAAAAAAATATTTTTTTCTTTTTTTCTAAAAAAAATAATTTTTGTTATTAGTGTGTATATAGATACTTATAACGTACGATTTAAAGAATTGGGAATTCATTTTAAACTTATTGTATCCTTTCCATGATTAGATGAAAACGACTAAGCAAAATAATGGCTTTTTGTGTGGGTTTCCACTATGCGATTACGTAAATTTTTTTATACGAAAACAGAGTAATTAAGAAGCAGAATGAGAGCGCGCTCATTAAAGACAGCAATCGTGGTTGGTGGCGGCAGTAGACCAAGAAATCAAGGGAAAAAGTTCATGCTGTTGGATACAGCGGCAACGACAACAACTACCACCATCACAACAAAACATTCAGGGACAGTTATTTTTGTCACGTTGTGTGCTCATAAATATGTTAAGTGGTTTAAAATAATTGCTGATTAAAAATGCTTATATAAAAATTTTAATAATTGATTGATTTTCTAATGACCAGAGAAAGTAAGATTGGCCCTTGAATTTCTTTAATGTTGACCGATGGTCAGCGTATAATACTTCCACAAATACCTCCGGGCATATACATTGCATAAGTTACACTGTTTTAAATAGCTTTATTAAATCCATAAATTATTTTTTATGAAAAATCAAATGAAATAAGTCACTCATATTATAATGCTTCAGTTAAATTTCTTTCAAAGTTTTCAAATAACTTTATCATGAAACTTTTCAATGAAAAACCTAAGGTTCGCTAGTAAAATTTTTGATAATTGGTACAATCATTGCATTGCTGACAAATAAAAAAGTTTAAAATAGAAATTAAAGTTTAAAAGAATATTTATAGTTTGGAGGAGGCGACACACCAAGTTTTGGTGACCAAGCTAATGTTGCGTTTAATACTGAGAATTTCCCACTTACAATATGTAATCTACTGAATTCGCTTTTAGGCAATAAGAATGTGCTAATTTGTTTGCTTGATCGTGCAGTTAATAAGAAGTGATTGATTATTTTCAGTTTAAGTCAATCAATAATGTGTTTCAGAGTTAATTCATAAATTTATCATTTACATTATTAATTTAAATAACCATATACGTTTGATTCTAAAATTTATATTTAATAAAATAATTCTAACTGATTCTAACATCATTACTCGATTTAAGAAATTCTTTCGTGCCTCAACTCGCTTTACTATCTCTTAATAAATTAAATTATACGTTAAATTAATGTATTAATTATATTTCTTGTAATTATATTGCTTTTTCTCATATTTTACATAATAATAAAGAATCTATCAGAATTTCCATTAAAAGAACATGACTTTAATAAATGGGTATTTAAATAGCTATGATCAAATGATTTTCCATATATAGATTTACATTATTATTTATATTATATATATTACGCGTTCCAAAAGATTGTAAACTTCTTCTTTTTCCAGACAAAAGACAATTTATTTCGACAAGACTAAAAATAAAAAAATTGCTATCTTTATGGATTTATGGTATAAAAATTTTGAATTAATCAAGAAATTTCTCCTCGAATTGGATCCCAAGTTCAATGGGTTAAATGGTTGCTTATCCATATTTTTGATCATCATACATTAGGTATATATATAATTTATTAATAAAAAAAAAATACTCCTCTCTAAAATATTGAGAAATTTCTAAAGCTAATACATAAAAGTTTAAATTACTTTTAAAACTAATATTGCAAGAATTAAAAGTCACATCATAATACCTGACATTATAAATAAATATAATAAACTTCAATTATTGACGTCTATAATTATATATTATCAAAATTAGTTTATTTAAATTGCTATAATAAATATCGATAAATCAAATTACCTCTTAATTGTAATGAGCTAGAAATTCCTAATTCAATTAACTGAGAATCTTGAAATTCTGTTAAAATGCATTGAAATTAATATTTCGTTATCAAATAAAAAAGTTAAGAATATATTACCTTCATTATTCTCATCCTTTTCAAGATATGAGGTGATAAGAGACGAATTAATAGGTTTTGTCAAATTTTTAAATGTAAATGCTCTACTTGTATATATAGCATCAGGATTCGTTTTGCGTGAAATTGAAATATTTGGTATCTCTTCATCTGCCTCTTCAAACCCTTCCTTTATTTCTTTTCCATAATATCCATATTTTTTATTATCTTTATTCTCCTCATATTTATCAATAGATCGATACCAAAAATTCAATATATTCCACAACTCATGGCTCGTTGGTCTTTGATTTGGATTTGCATCCATACATCTATAAGCTAATTTCTTGTAAAATTCAGGGGTTCCTTTTCCAAATTCTGGACGAAGTCCATTACAAATATTTAAGGCTAAAGATACGTCATGTTTTCTGTCATCAAAAGGAGGGTTTCCGGATGATAATTCAGCCATAATTACACCAAAACTGTATATATCAGAAGCTAAAGTATATAATTCTCCATTCAAAACTTCTGGAGCGATATAAGGTAGTACTCCATATATTTTATCATCCGATTTTTGCTTATCTGCTGGTCCTGATAACCCAAAGTCTGAAATATAAGAAGAACCATCTTGCAAGATATTTCCACTATGAAAATCCTTATGACAATATCCTAAATTATGTAAATCATAAAGATCACAAGTTAAATAGTATAAATGTTTAATTTTATCTTCCCATAACAAGATGTTAAAATTATTTGAAAGATAACTTCTCAAATTTCCATCAGGTGCAAATTGTACGATCATAATAAAATCTTTTGTTTCTGGATCCTTAGTTATCCCATAAAATAATAATGCACTACCTGGTTGACAAATATCCCAATGTGCTTTAAGCTAGTTTTTGTAATAAAAATTTAAGAGCAAATTAGAAGAATCTTCTTATTAATTCATATCAAATATAAATGTGATATACCTCACTAAAATATTTAGCTGACATATCCCGTGATCCATTT